TCAGAATCTAGTTTTTGCCCGGACACTGCCTTTAAGACGAACATAACTTTCTTTCAAAGATGCTGATATATCTCAAAAGCACAACTAAGATCGCAGCTGAGAGATTACCATGCATGTAAAAGGTCTTAGTGACAATTAGATGACAACAAAAAGAAATGCCAGAAAGGAAAGCAAAGCATAAGCTTCAGAACTCACAGCAGGATCGTCATATTCCTTCACTATGTACTCGGCAAGATTATGCAAAGCAGGCCACAACAGTCCATTGCTGATTCCTCCATAGTAAGCGTTATAATCTTCCTGATATGCATGTTTTATTCAAAAGAAAAGAAATGGTAATTAGGGAGCTAATTACAAACCTGGCTAACAAAAACGGGGTTCAGTTGGTAATTGGTCTTGTTATAGTCATGCAGAACGGATAAAAGGGACATGTCTTGCCTGAAATTGAACTTTGAGTGGATAAAAAAGTTTTATACATATTGTGACAACTAACTCAACAAGCTGCTCCCTGTCAGTGAGCTGCTGCTTCTTGTCGTTCTCTTCCAAAACGTGGAAAATTTCTCCAGCTCTGGCTTGTTTGATAAGAGGAAGACCAAGCGAATTGGTTGTAGGGTGCACATCCTAAAGTCACAGAGTAAACAGTATAGGACTTGATAACGTGATGCTTTCTTACAGCCGATTATATTCGACTAAGCTAGCGCTAGTCTACAAAATCGCATAAAAGCATCAGGAAAATAATCATGCTGCACTTCGGAAAAGAAGTGCTTACCAATTCATCCTGTTTTTCTTCCTTGATGTTAATTCCAAGATTCGACAGCCAAATGTTCTCTTTGTCCACCGACATTACCGGATCTACGCATGACACTAGTCCTCCGGAACCTGAGAATAATCATTTCAAAATTTATCCTTATTATCTCATTCCGAATTTTCTTGCATATTAATCCATTAACTGTTTTATGTACGTGGCAAGCGAAGTTCAACGGTCGGTTTTTACTTTCAATGGTGTTGACAGTTTTCTAACAAATCAGTAGCTAACCTTGTTTAATCTCCCAAGAATTGCTCCCTTTACGTTGAATAGACACAGGTGGTGCGTTCGACACGTTAATGACTCTTTGCTAAATTATGTAAAATTCAATTATAGCCACCAAGAACCCTAACGCACCTTATGATGCATCGTGTCCATGAGCCCAGTAACGCCTGTTCCACTAGAAAGACCCTCACTTGCTCCATCTGATTGAGCATCATCAACAGCATCATTTTCAAGAGATAAGAGATCTTCCATAGAGCCGCGCCTCGATGATTGTCGTGAATTTGCTCGAGATCGCACCATCTAAACGTGGTACTTGAGGTGATAGTGAATATATTTATAAGTGGAAAAATACGTACTACCTGGATGTGCCTGTACTTTTCACCAAATCTTTTGGCATGCACACCCAGCATGCTCTGACGCACTCCAGGTACGGCTGCATACAGTTCGCTGAAAAACAATTTCTTTTACCAAATCTTTATGTGGTTCAACTTATAGCTAATGCAGACACCAAGAGATTGAAAAAAATGTTTGCATTGACATTTCATATCTCAAAACGTGCGTGTATATCACTTTACAAATCTAACTTGTCGATTGCTTTTCGTATGCAGCTCATGCATGCTTGCCCTGCTCCAGAGTTCCACATTTTGTTAAAATTTCGCCAATCTTCATCAATGCTAACTACCGTTCCAACTTATA